GCCGGAGCCTGTGGGCAGGCGGTTCTCGCACTCCACGGCCAAGGGCTGGGGTTCTGGATTGTTCGGCCCCTCAGGCCCGCAGGCCCTGGGGGCAATTCGAACGGGTGGCGGGAAGCCGCTGACGTCATGCGGCGGGCATTGTTCTCGCAGCGGGCGGGCGCGGACCACTGGGAGCAGTACCCACTTGCCATCTGTTTGTTTCCTCCCATAGGTCAGCTCAGCCGAGGGGGCGGCCAAGGAAGAGGTGAGGACCGGGTGCCTTCGGCCCTGGGGGGTGGGTGTCACCTAAACTGCTTTCCCACTTCTTTGCGTGATGATTTTTACTTTTTCTCCCTCAAAGCCCAAGAGGAGATCGGCGAGGTTGTCGGCTGTAAGTACTGAGAGTCCCCTACGCATATTTTTTCTGCGGTTTGTACTGGGGGAAGAAACTTAGTGCTACTTTTGCCTTTCAGAAACCTCCTACAAAAGTGGAGACGAAGCCAAAAAAGGCCGCAGGGAAGGTAGGTTTGGAATTTCGGTTAGGATACAGCGGTCCCTCAGGCTATAGCGTCCTTGGTGAGTGACTTTAATATACAAACATGGATTATTATTATTTTAACTTTTAAAAAATTTATTTAATTTTATTTATTATTTTTTTATTTCACCAGAGAGCTAGAGAAAGGGGGGGAGTGAGAAAGCAAGCTGCCAGGTCTGGGGCTCGAACCATTGTGTGCCGTGTGGGAGTCCAACACCTTAACCCCTATGCCACCTACTGGCATATTTTTTTTCTTTTTTGGAGAGGTTTTCGCTAGAGGGCGCATGCGCTCGCCAAACAGAGAGAGACAGAAAGCGAGAAATCACCCCCCAGGGGGGATGGTCACGCCGCAATCCCTTCTCCTCCATTCTCCTCTCCGGATCTTGGGCATTGGGCACGCACGCACACTTTCCCAGCATGAGTTTTAAGCCACCGGGTCCGGGACGAGAACCGTGGTCGACTATGGGGGAGTCCAGCAACATAGCCATTGCACTAACTGCTGGTTCCCCCTACTGGCATATTTTAATGTCAGTTTTTTTTTCTTATGCTTTGAGTAAAAGATAGTGGATATATTATTTTTAGTTGATATGTTTATAACAAATATTGAATTAATGCTGTTTCAGGATTTAGGAAACTGAAGACGCCAAAGCTTAAATTTTACTTTAATCTACAAATTAAACTTACTCTGTGTATATGATGATTGGTGCTTTTCCTTTCATGGCATGCTTGTATCTTTTTTTTTTTTTTTTCTGAGAGATTTTTGCTATAGGGCATGGGCACTCTCCACACAGAGGCAGAGAGAAAGCGAGAAAACATCCCCCAGGGGGATGGCCGTGCCACAGTCCCTTCTCCATTCTCTTCTCGGGATCTTGGGCACGCACGCACACACGCTCAATGTGAGTTTAAGCTACCGCGTCCTGGACGCGAACCGCGGTCAACTACATGGGAGTCCAGCGACATAGCCATTAGACTAACTGCTGATCCCTGTGTCTCTTCTTTTGACAAACATCGCAGCATGAATTAAGTTAGAAGAAATGGAACATGAAATTTTTTTTAAAGGTTTTTGCCATAAAGCAAGTCCACACACCAGAGAGAGACTGAGGGAAAATGAGAAATCATTCCTCACAGGGAAGGGCTATACCACAATTCCTTCTCCACTTTTAACCTGTTATTTTGAGATTGTGGGATCATGCACTCAACATGATTTTCAAGCTACCAGGTTCTGAACTCTTAACTGTAGTCAGCAATGGGAGTATACCGCCTTACCACACCAACCTGAAGGTTTTTATACACAACAGTCTCTTCTTTTTTGGGGGGGGGGGGTGGGTGGGAGGATTTTTGCTATAGGGCACATGTGCTCACCAGAGCCAGATAGACAGAAAGCAAGAAATCACCCCCTGGGGGATAGCTACACTGCAATCCCTTCTTCATTCTCCTTTTGCGATCTTCTGGTGGGAGTTTTAAATCACTGGATTCGGACTCGAACCATGGTCGTGGGAACCCAGTGATATCACCATTATGCCATGTGCTGGTCCCTACAGTTTCTGAACCAAGATTGACATCATTTTATCTCAAGTAGATTAACAGTTATGTTAAATGAGAACATAACAGTATTTTTTTTTTGAGAGGTTTTTGCTATAGAGCATGTGCACTCACCAGAAAGAGACAGAAAGCGAGAAATAATCCCCCCAGGGGGATGGCCACGCTGCAATCCCTTCTGCTCCATTCTTGGGTTCCTAGGCACGCACGTATATGCGCCCAGCAAACCGTGGTTGACTATATGGAAGTTCAGCAACATAGCCATTACACTAACTACTGGTCCCCATAACAGTATTTTAAACATATTTTATTTGCAGTTGTGTGTAAAAGAATTCACAAAATCACTTTTATAATAGCTTTTGGGTTAATTTTTTTAAAAAAGATCCTTGCTCTGAATTAGAGCTGATTGCATTGCTCAGTTTGTGGGTCTTTGAAATGAAGTTGTTTGATAACTTTAAAGTCAAAAGACAAAACAAACTTGTCTTTTCTGAACTTTGTGTTTGAGTATTTCATTGAAACTCTCATCTGCTCTACACAGTGTAATTGAATTTCACTCAAAACTTGAGAGCTCGCTATTTAAAGTCTCCGAAAATCACTTTTTTTTGTTGTTTAAGTTTGCAATAGGGAGCCAGCAGGTGGCGAGGTGGTTAAAGGCACTTGACTCCCACATGGCTGACCATGGTTCGAGTTCTGGACCCTGGCAGCTTGCTTTCTCACTTTCCATCTATCTCACTCTGTCCCTCTGTAGTCAAATTTAAGTAAATAAAGTTAAAGTCATTCTTAAAAAAAAAAAAAGTTTGGGGACCAGCAGTTGGCATAATGGCTACGTCACTGGACTACCACATAGTCAACCGCAGTTTGAGTCCCAGACTCGGTGGCTTAAACACATGCTGTGCATGTGTGCCCAAGATCCCAAGAGGAGAATGGAGAAGGGACTGCAGCGTGGCCATCCCCCCTTTGGGGTGATTTCTCACTTCCTATCTCTGTCTGTTTTCCATTCTGTTGGGATTGGGGACATGTAGGCACGTGTGCTTTCCCCAAGCTTCCAGGTCTAGAACTTGAACTGTGGAATTGTCATGTGGAATCCAGTCACCTTAACCACCACACCACCAGTTCGCCTTAAGGTTTTATACTCTTGTGTTACTCGGTTAATGGATTATGAATTAATGAAATACCTAAAAAATTAGACTACAAAAGTCAAATTCAAAAACAGTTTTTGCTGAGACCTGCAGATGGCATAATGGTTATGTAGCTGGACTCCCATGTAGTCAATTGTACTTGAGTCCCAGACCCGGAGGCTTAAAACTCATGCTGGGGGAACCAGCAGGTGGCATGGTAGTGAAGGCGTTGGATACTTCCACATGGCCAACCATGGTTCAAGTCCTGGACCTAGTGGCTTTCTCTTTCCC